CTAATAATTTGTTTCATATCTTCATTGTAATGCCGATAATAAAAGAATAATAAATACTCAAACTGCTTATTCTAAATAATGAAAAGCGATAAGATACTTAAAAGACAAAGCAATAGAAATATTAATTCAATACGAATATTGAATTTAATAGATTGGCATTGCCAAAATTCATGCAGATACACATTTTCCCTTACTCCTTCGTTCTTGTTTATTAATTTTGATTTTGATTTTAATACTTATTAGTGATTTAAATATTGCTTTGCGTATGATAAGTAAAGGAATTTATTGACTTAAGAGTTAGGAAAATATCGATAAAACGTAACTAAAAGAGAATGAAATGTCTATGTTTAGATATGTGAGGCCATTCATAATTATCAATCGTCTTTCCATTTAGGCCATTTCGTGTCACTTCCGCTGCTTTCTCTGGATTACCAATGGAATAATTGTCCGCGATGCGAAACTCGCAAACTCGTCGAACAACCTATCGTAAGTCACGCGTACTTTCTTATCTCCCCGCGTGCAACGACGATAATTTCCGATTGAGGTTGCAAAACCAGCCTTCGCTCAATTTCTCATCCTATAATGTACATAAACGCGTTGATAGAAAGCAAACGATGACGTAGCTTCACCTTATACTTTTATATTTCATTTGGCATTAATCGTGCATTTTTTACATTAATTTACGCCCCAACCGTGCGCCAAAAGCATCGAATGCATTTGCAAATAATGCAATAATCATTAATTTGCCATTAATTAAATATAATGCGTGTCAGTAGTTCGAATTAAAGAGACAATGATGAGTCGTATTAAGGGATATGAATAGAATTTTAGATAAGATATCTAATGAACTTATTGAAATTAATACAGCTCTTATGACATACGCGCACACAAATGAGCCTCGAGCGCCAATGCATGCAATCACTAGGTATATCTACAGCGAGGTCACAAAAATCAAATTTGGTCGCATATATCGTGTTATTTACAGCCTTTATAGCGCGCGTGAAAAATAGTATGAAACGTTAATATGAAGAACATGATTTCACGATTAGTTATTATAACGTACGTTCTTTTTGTTGTTCTTTGATGCATGATCGGAGATAGCCTTTTGTTCAATCAAAATATAATCATCTGCTTTAGATTTTATATTTTATGAGGTCATGGGAAACGATGGATGTCCCCCCCCTCCCCCCCCACACACACACATCCCCGAGCAATTGGTTATTTATTCATTAGGCTGGTATTATAAACGTAACTCTTAATTAATTTTAATAATGTTAATAAAGGTGAATGTCAACGATGCGGCTTTAATTATTAATATGTTTATAGAATTACCACAGTCTAATGGAGCAATTAATTAAGTAATTAATTTGCCAAATAAAAATGATTAGAGTACCTAGTTCAGTCGAGAACTTAAGAAATAAGGATTTATTACACCCCTGCTCAAGTTATTCAATTAAATAGGAATAGTTTTAAAATAACCGTATGATATTAATAATCATAAGCGTAAGATGCACTTTAGACTATCTTTACTGAAAGTATCAATTTTCTCGGTGTCGTGTAAATCATAAACTGTATCTATTAACTTCTCGATTGTCTCAACTGTCTCAACTGCATTACGCTGAATTGATAGCGAATAAAAATGTCTAGCTCAAGTCTAAATTTGTTCAATTTTATTAAAGCAATGCAATCTACTGATTTATTTATAGAAATATTTTATTATTTATAAATTATTTATAAATCCAAGCTATTTGTGGAATTGTTACGACGCAATAATATAATAACTACATTACTTCTGTGGATGAGATTGTCGCTGTAGATTCGCAGCACTGGACAAACAATAAAATAACACTTAATACAATTTATTATTTCAATGTAGGAAAAAATATATATAAAAAAAAAAAAAAAAAAAAAAAAAAAAAAAAAAAAAAAAAGAAGAAAAAAGAATCATAATAATGGTTGGAAACTGTTGAAAAGAATGTGAACGAAGCGAATCCGAGTTAAGATGACCTAATGTTTGTTATTGTTAAACGTCACATAAGTATTTCATCGAATTTTCCATATTTTTAATTTATCAATTATTCGGTGTATCGACATTGCTATGATTGGGAAATTTAGCTGATTGCTCCCGTTTGCCGAAAAGATATATTTCGCAATCGGTTCATCGCAATCTGACGATTTTATTACGATTTTTATATCTCCTTAAGTGCGCTACGTCTTTTCAAAATTAACCTTCTCCGCTGGTTGTTCGGCGCTTAGTTCACAAGCATTTTTATTCATTTAAAGACTATACGTAAAAACATTTGACGGATATATATATATATATATATATATATATATATAGAGAGAGAGAGAGAGAGAGAAATATAATGCGGCAATATAAATCCAATCAAATGAAATATGCAATGTACATTACGTAGATTTAGACTAAATCGTTAGGAATTAACACCATCATTGTCAACGGATGCTGCGCAACCGCGGATCAACAAAATAGTGATCGTCTAAGCTGTATGACAAATAAATTGCAAAATGCATTACCATCGTAAGTTACAAGTTGTAAATTTGGCGAATAATCGTTGCACGTGGTCAACCTGGCAAGAATTACTTTTGAACGAGAGCCAATTCCCACCAGCCAAATTCTCGTATTGAGGTCAAATTATCAACGGTCTTGAAGCACTTGTTCATTGTTTTCTATTAGAATAATAGATTAATTTCTATATTAAAAGCATACATACAATACATATTACGTAATACATTATACCTAAATATTTTGTGCTTATTTCATTTCGTTCCATTTTTAATTATAATTGCTAATAATATTTATAATAGTTAGGTATAATGCTCGGTCATCTTGAGTCTATAATAAAAAGTTATAATTTTAAATATCATTACTTTCTTTTCAATTTATCAGCTTCGCGTTAGTCAATTATAATCATTATTACTGAGACTTTTAATTTAATGTTTATATTTCTAAAGCTAACACAGTTTTTTTTTATGTCGGCTCTAGTATTATGTAATAGTAAATAAAGCTAATTAGTTTTATTATCCCATTTGGCCTAATGTCAAACAATAAGACAATATTGATAAATGATATTCGGAGCAAAACATATATATCAGTTGAAAATGTACAAGAACGTAGATTATTAGACGATATAATTGTTGTAGTATAAGTAAATAAATGGCCTGTAAACTTTAAGTAGCAATTTAATTATAAAAATAAAAGAGTGATATTTTAATCTTTTAAATTTCGGTAATATGAAGTTATTTACACGAGATGTCACTATTTTAATTAAAAATGAAAAGATATTTTAAAATAATAAATGAATAATAATTTTAATAAAAGCAGATATTTTGTGAATAATTATTTTATCTAATGTGCATATTAAGTATCTTCGAGGGCTCTGTTAGGAAAACAACATCTAGTTAACTTAAAAATTTATCAATTAGCAAAAATTCATTTGATTTAAGTCTAAAAGATAGATTGGACAAAAATGAAAATTTAAGTTTCAATAAAACATTTTTACTTCTAGTTATCTATCACTTTTTTCTATTCGTTATTTAATAAACAGAGTAAAAGAATTTGCTGTCTATAAATGCAATAATTTGATTATTTAACGAAAAACATAGATAAATTTAATTTTGGGATTTATATTTTTTATAATAATATTTACTTTATTTTGTTTAATATTGTCGAAGTATGCACTAAGCCATTGACTCCTCGATATTCTAAGATTTATAAAACGCGTAAAGGTTATTTTAAAGATATTTAGATAGACGGAAAAAGAAGGAATAAAATTACAAAAATATAAAATTTCACGGTTTTATTTAAAATGAAGAAAGCTTAAAATAAATTTATTTTTAGCAAGATTTTAAATTATTATTTAGAAACTAGAACATTATATTAATATTTTGAAATTGATATAAACAAAATTAAAGGAAAAATTTTGTTACGATGCAATTACAAGTATTTCAAAACATTCGTAAAATGAAAATTATTTATTTAATAGGATTAATAAGTTAGAATAAATATTGAAATGCGAATATATAAATTTATAATTTGATCATTATCGATGACATTATATGTGAAAGCGATAAATTTCCAAAAAAATGTCTTTTAATTGTTTTAAATAAATTATTAACGATATATTATCGATAGGCTATAAGAAGATGTATGAAAAATATTAAAAATCGATGTCGATATATATGATTCGTAAGTGAGTTTTAAAGATCGATAATGTTGCACGCAAATAATAATTTTAATAAATCGAATGAATTACTCGCAGAAAACATTGATTTTAATCGAATTAAATATAAAAGATTATAAAAGTATTATCGATCTATTCTTTGGTCTATTAAAAAAAAAAAAAATTATTTTCGATAATGTCTCCCTTGCTCTTTACGTCAGCTAAATTAAAATTGTGAAATAAATAGATACAAACTTAATGTGACTCGTTTATTTAATTATTCATGCATAAACTTCATATAATTAGATAATTGTCTTATTATTGAAGTAGTTTTTATTAAATATTCATTCGTATTATTTAATAAATGAAAAACTCACCGAACCAAATACAATATAAAATAATAGCAAATAATTTATAGTATATATAAATTCTAAATGAATAAACAAATAAATCGAATTTGTCTGAAATTTTTTTTAAATACAATTCACTTATGTTTTATTATAAATTGCAATTGTTTAAATAGAGAACCGTGAGACTAGACATACATACAATGATGCAAAACAAAAATAATAAACACAATATTGCATTTTGATTAATTGGCCTATTAATTTTTTTCGAGCCAAAGTTCTAAAGCACAAATTAAAGGTCGAGTATAGTTTGTAGGAGTCAGCGAAGCATCTGCGTTAAACATTGTAGGAAAAGAAAAAGTATATTAGTAATTAGTAACCATATGTATTCTAAACCTTGTCCTAAAATTCATAATCTATATTTTTAATAATTTAATTTTAATTATTTTTAATCTATATTTAATAATAATAATGCGTGTGCATTTTTGCGCGACTGTGTGGGGTTTGTGCGCGTGCACGAGTATTCGCGGCTCAAAAGATTAATATCCAAGTGACGTATCCGACTGCAAGTGAGATGAGGGAATGCGATCAAGTGGAAAGTTAAGAGTGATTTGACGAGGGCATCGTCGTTTAATAAGTCAACAAGATCATGTCCTTTTTTTTGTGCAACCGGCTGCTGAAAAATTTATATTGTAAAAAGAATCTGCAGATCACGACGTTATTCCATCTTCCTTGTACTTGTGCCTGCCTTAAGCGATCCATTGTTTGTACCAGAACTACAACTCTGCTAGTTTTTTCCAAGCATGATAGTTCTTTCGGATCCAAGGTAAATTTTTCTAGAACAAAAAAAAAAAAAAAAATGTCTCCTATTATTAAATTGTTTTTTTTCTTGATTCTAATAGCGACTTTGATTGCTCTATTTCTTCTTGTTTTAAAAGCATTTAGAGGTTAGTTCTAATAACCTAGTTAGCAATATAATATTAGCCTATTTCGCAAGATTATTGGTTATTCACAATTCTGAATAGTCTGCCTTAACAATCTATCTTGTTAATCGAAATCGCTATGTTACATATATTTTCAACTATAAATGTTTTTACTTTCACCCTACAGATGTAAATTTTTTGGTTACTTGTTATGGGTCGTACTACAAGAAAAGAACGTTGGTTGAAGAAGCAGGAGTCTGTAAAAAAAAATTCAATAGACAACGAAGACTTATATACAAAATTAAAATCCTGGATGTGTTTTCATAAATGGAAACCCACCTGTAATTTAGTACCTTACGATTTTAAAAGTACAGGCAGAGGCTTAATGTCAATTAACAAAATACATACTAATCAAATAATTTTACAAGTTCCTAAATCATTGATAGTCACTACTTTTGTTGTTTCAAAAAGTCCAATTAAAATTCTGTTTTCCATTAATAAAAGTTACAGCGCGCAATGCGTTCTTGCGATATTTTTAATTTACGAAAAACATTTAGGAATGCATTCATTTTGGAAACCTTACATAGATACTCTTCCAAATTCTTACACCAATCCAGAATTTTGTACTAAAACAGAGAAAAACTTCCTACCAGTCTTTATAAAAAATGAATTGCAGGTGTTATTGGAAGCACTAAAGTCCAGTTATCTAGATGTAATTGAATCTATTAAGTTATTACATAATAATACGTGCAAACATTGTGACCAATCGTTTTATACTATTTTTACATATCACAGATTTATTTGGGCCTATTATACAGTTAACACTAGGGCAGTTTATATTAATAACAAGAAACAAAAATGTTTATCAATTAATATAAAAGGAAATGACAATTTAGCTTTGGCACCCTTGTTAGATTTATTTAATCATGCTTGTGAAACCATTTCCGATGCCCAATTAGTATCGGAGTCAAACGATAAAGAGTTTTATCAGATTAAAGCCTTAAGATCTTATGAACCAAACTCACAAGTGTTCATTCATTATGGCGCGCACAGCAATGTAAAATTATACTTAGAATATGGTTTCTTTATTAGTAATAATCCTTTGGATCAAATATATTTTAATCTAATGGATATAGAAAAATGTCATAAAGTTTCAAGGTTCGCTTATGATTTTATAACTACTAACAGACTTGAAAATTCCATGGCCTTTACCGCCGAAGGCTTAAATTATTGTGCAAAAAATGTATTATTTATCGTTACTTCGAATAATTTAAAAGACTCTTTGCGTAAAGAAAAACTTTACGATGAAAAGTTTGATAGTAATGATTTGCAGCTTTTGAATGATTTAGGCCTAGCCATTTTGGAAAATATAAATAAAGAATTAATATCAATGCTAACGAATATGACAATTATTAAGCGTAGAACCGAAAGCTTTTCAGTACTTATAAATTTTTTAAAAGAATATATAGCAATTGTTAAAAAATCATCATTATGTTTAAAATAATTATTGTACAATTGAAATGAGATTGCTTTTTAATGGTATACGTATGTGTATATTGGTGATGATTGTGATGGTTCGTGTGTACAAATAATTTTGTAGAGAAATTTGTAAGAAATGAATAAATTAAGAAAACGTTAAATCAATGAACGAATGTTTCTTTTAGCCTTTTAAAATTTCTTCTATTTTTATTAAAAAATTTAATAATATAAATTGATTATTTTACAATACATGTATTCTATGTTTTCTTAAAAATATTATTTAAATTGCAGAAATGTAGTGGAAGCGTTATTGATCGAGCCCAACAGAGAAAAAGCATATCTCAGACAAAAGTGGTTGTTACGCCAACTAAACAAAACTTTGTAGTTGCAAGTATCACTGGAGCAAAACCTTCTCAGCAAAAACGAAACTGCTTTCATCCTGGCATATCTAACTTGGGCCAAAATGTATTGACTTTCAATGTTGGAGCAAAAATCACTGGAAACGACATGCTCAATGCTATGTTCAACTTCATATGGCCAAAGGTGCAATTATTGCTACTACCATTTTTTTGTATTTTATTGCAATTTTACAAATTTGTTATAAAGCCGTATTTTCATACGCCATCTGAGTAATTCGAGATTCCTTTTCTCCATTTTCCCATCACATAGGATGAGCCTGAAATTAGAAAAAGAGTAAAAATAGCTCTTGGGCTGCTGATTGGAGCTAAGATACTCAATGTTTGCGTACCGTTTCTTTTCAAACATGCAGTCGATACATTTAATGCAGGGACAATTGCATTAACCACCGCTCCTGAAACTGTTGCAACTGTTGGGACTAGTTTGCTCATTGGATGTAAGAATATTAAATATAATGGCTCGATATTTGTTTATAATAATTGAGAACAAAACAGGTTATTTGAATTTTCATCGTTGCTTGATATTTTTTATGTCCAATTTAATGTATATAAAAATTATGATATATAAGATATTGCTCGAGTGACGTTACTTAAGCATATTTATAATTTCAAACGATATGAAAAGAGAGTGGTCTCTTGGTAGATCAATGGTAAAAGTTAGATATTATTGATAAAATAAAATTAGAAAAGTTGGAGAGAAAGCAATTATAAAATCTCTCGTATTAGATAGCAACATTATTTCAATCTCGTTATTTAATAAAAATGATTAATGAAAAAGGGTTTTTTTTTCCTTTTATTTACTTAGTATTTGATTAATTATTGTTTGGCAGTACATCTTATCTTAATAAATAATAAAAGCTCATAAAAATTGTAATTTTGATATTTGTTAATTTTAGACGGTATTGCTCGATGTGGAGCGACTGGATTTAACGAACTCCGTAATGCAGTTTTTGCTAAAGTTGCCCAACATTCGATTCGAAAAATAGCTAAAAATGTGTTTCTTCATCTTCACAATTTAGACTTATCGTTTCATTTAAGTAAACAAACGGGCGCTTTATCCAAAGTAAGCAGCAAACAAATTAATTTAAATTCATTACAATGCCAATGCCAAATGAAATTAATAGCTTAATATCGTATTTTTGTTTTTGTTTTATAGACAATCGACAGAGGCAGTCGTGGTATAAATTTTGTATTATCAGCCATGGTTTTTAATATTGTACCGACCGTTTTTGAGTTAGCACTCGTCAGCACCATATTGGGTTTTAAATGTGGCCCTGAGTATGCGGGTGTGGCACTTGGTTGTGTAACTACCTATGCCATTTTCACGCTTGCAGTTACACAATGGAGAACGAAATTTCGAATTTACATGAATAAAGCAGAAAACGAAGCCGGTAATAAGGCAGTAGATTCACTTATTAATTACGAAACAGTAAAGGTAATTGTTAATGTTTAATGCTTTTCGTCGCACCAGAAATCATAATGAAAACTTTTGTTACAGTATTTTAATAATGAAATATTTGAAGCGGAGAAATATGACTCGTCTCTCAAGAAATATGAATCCGCCTCTTTAAAAACGAGTACGAGCTTGGCTCTATTAAATTTTGGACAACATGCAATTTTTAGCGGAGCTTTAAGTTTAATTATGGTCCTGGCCGCAAGAGATATTGTCAATGGTAATTGTCATTTTTTTAAATCCAAAAAAAAAAAAAAAAAAAATTTTCATTAAATAAATTATCGTCGGTTATGCAGTATAAATTATGCAAGCATTATAATTAATATTTAATCTAGGGCATTCATTATATGCTCAATTCATTAATTGGAGAAAAAGCTTGTAATTTTTAAGAGAAAGTAGATGCTCGATTTTGCTAGGCTCGTAGAGCACATTTAAACTTAAAAATCATCATCATTATATAGCACAGCCACATTATATTACACACTTCTTTGTGTTTAATTAATTTTTAAACTAACGAATCAATATTAAATACGACTATAAGAATCATATAATACAATGTAAATAATATTAACTTGAATAGAATTTATAAGGTATTTGTATGTTTTTATTGTAGGAAATTTAACGGTAGGAGATTTAGTAATGGTCAATGGATTATTGTTTCAGTTATCGATTCCTCTGGGATTTTTAGGATCAGTGTATAGAGAAGTGAGACAAGCTTTTATTGATATGCAAACTATGTTTTCCATAACAATGATGGATCCAGCTATTAAAGTATGTTTTATCCTCTTGTCGCGGTAGAATGTCTTGTGCATTAGCAATCCTATCGAATTAATTTACAATTTCAGAATAAGCCGAATGCTCTACCTTTTTTCATTGTGCCAAAGAGTTCTGAAATAACTTTTGACAAAGTGAATTTTCAGTACGTAAACGGAAAAAATATAATCAGTGATTTGTCCTTCACCATTCCAACGGGAAAGAAAGTGGCGATCGTAGGGGGATCTGGATCCGGGTAAATGATTATGATTTGCTCGATTGAAAATCCCTCGCACGCGAATAAGTGGAAATAACAATCTTAATATTATTGCAGAAAAACGACATTGGTAAGATTATTGTACAGATTCTTCGATCCTATAAGCGGCAGGATCCTAATAGATGGCAAAAACATTCAAGATGTAAATATAGATGACCTTCGTCGAGCGATGGCCATTGTACCTCAAGATTCCGTTCTTTTCCACGAATCGATATTCTACAATCTTCATTACGGTAACTTATCCAGATCAAAAGAAGACGTGTACAAAGCCGCTGAAATGGCAAATTTACACGATGCTATACTAAAGTGGCCACAGGGATACGATACTCCCGTTGGTGAACGAGGATTAAAATTAAGCGGAGGCGAAAAGCAGCGAGTTGCCATAGCTCGAGCAATTTTAAAGGACAGCCCTATTCTAATATTCGACGAGGCCACTTCATCCTTGGATTCTATTACCGAGAAGGTAAATAAATGTTCTTTCGCCTATTGATATTTCAAGGGCTTCTTACACGGCTAATTATTATTATTGTTGTTGTTGTTGTTATTATTATTATTATTATTATTATTATTATTATTATTGTTGTTGTTGTTGTTTCTAACACTGATTGTAGCATATACTCGAGGCATTACGTAGAGCGACTGCCGGGAGAACATCGATCGTGATCGCTCATCGCTTATCAACTGTTATCGACGCGGATGAAATTTTCGTTTTGAACGGCGGCAAATTAGTGGAGCGGGGGAAGCACTCAAATTTACTTAATAGAGAAAATTCATATTACAGCGAATTGTGGGATGCTCAACATTTGGGGGTGAGTAGCGAAGAGCAAAAGTTAGGGGCGTGAAAAAAACCTATCTGTATACAGTTCTGTAATATATGTATAATTATTGGATTTTTAGAAGCTATTTAAAAATTATTTTATATCTATGATACATAATTAATAGGCAACCTAAGTAATAAATAAGAATATAAATAGTGTAAATAATTTATTTTAAATTATCTTACATCGTATATAAAATTATTTTGTAAATTATTTAAGATGTTTATGTGATGAAAAAAGAAAGAACTATGTACATTTAATTTATTTAGTTAGTAATTTTAATTAATTTTAAGATAATTAATATTAATATTGTTATCCAGAAAAACGAACAAAAAATAATAATATTAATAAGATGAATAAATAAAGGTCAATAAAACAATCGATGAAATTGTGTGTGTTTATATTGTATGAACATTATTTTGCATATATAAAAAAGCTATTTACTTTACTAGTTTCTATAGCAACGTGTAAGAAACAGTCATGGGTGTCAATCGGATGAGTCTCGTGCTAAATATTTTATTAAATGCATATCAATGAGTTAGAATAAAAAGTTATTGGCTAAGTTGCTGAAAATGTGACAAGTAAAAGAATTAGTTTTTCTTTTTCTTTAAAAAAAAAAAAAAAAAAAAAAAAAAAAAAAAAAAAATGCAAAGTGACGTTCCCCCCCTGCCCATATCATGTTTAACGACTAATATACGCGTCTATAGGTTTGTATACAATTTTGTTTTGAAGAGCATTTTTCTCACCACGTCTCAAGCAAATATCGAGAAAATAAATTGATAACACTTTTTAGAAATAGTAATTTAACACCGGAACTTACAGCTCAGGAAAGTACATTAAATCCATTTTATAAAAGCAGACAAAGTGCATTATTGGCATCAAATAAAAAAAAATTATGCCCTATAATTGGTGTGTAAGCTTTTATTTTTTTTATTTTTACTTTATTCCAATTACTACATTGCTTATCAATTAATTTTAACTGTTCGATAAATTAAAATTATTCGTAGCCGAATCGAGTCCTAGTCCTTATAAGAATAGCGCACATTTTAATCCTCCCGATATCGCCAAGTCACCAAGGAAAAGTGTAATTCGTCAGCGTATCTCGTCCGCAAAAATGCTACGTATAAAACAATTGCAAAACCAATTAGCCGATGCCCATTTCCATTTAAACGTAAGTGATATTGTTTGGTATTGCTCATGAATGTCGATAAAGTGCTAAGTAATTGTTTAAAAAAAAAAAAAAAAAAACTCGGTTTACTTTAGGAATTATCGAATGAAAATAAGTTACTTAAAGTAATTCAAAAAAGGCAGGACACGGCTTTGAAACGATATGAAGGAACAAATGCCGAATTACCAAGAATCATTCACTCTCATCACGAAGATCTAAGAGTTCTTCAGACTAAGTTCAAAAAACTGAAATGCCAATACAAGGAAACGAGTGATGTATTAAAAGACAAAGAAAATGAGCTGCATTCCTTGCAGGTGCATTCAAGTAATTACCTCAAAGGACGCAATTCCCAAACCTTAATTTCCAAATCTTTTTCTTTTTTTTTCTCTCTCCTATATGTACAAATATATATATATATATATTTATATATTGAAAAGCAGGTTGTTAAGAAACAAAGAAAAAAAAAAAAAAAAAACTTAAAAACTTGGTTAATATTGGTATTATTGCAGATTCAAAATAAGAAACTTTTGCAATTGAGTAAGGATCGTCAGTTAAGAGAAAGGGAAAAGCTACAGACTCAAGTACTAGATTTAAATCATAGAATAGATCAACAGGATGAAATAATTCAGGTAGAGAGAAAAAATATACGTTTATTCATTAAATTTCTTTCATTTTGTAAAATTTATGCAAAATGCAGTAAGAATGGCAATGGTTTTATCGCTGAAAGAGAGCTTTTTAAATTCTAAAAATCAATATTTTTATAGACGTTGAAACGTAAACTCGCGCTGGAAAGTAAATATTTGAAGCATCAACTACACAAAGAAATTTTAAAACACAAGGAAACGCAAAAGCAACTTCAAGATACTCAATTTAAACTTAAGACTTTAGAAGAATTAACAGAACAAAGAGAAAGAAAGTCTTACCAATCAAGTCGTATTGCATTTTTTAATAAAAACAGGTCAACAACGACAAGTCAATCTCTTACAAATTTAAGCGAAAGTAGATCGGAAAATTTAATAAAGGCACAGAGGTTGCTATTTACACACCTATAATTACTTAAGGACATTGTTTTATTTGTTAATAAGATCAAATATTCATAAAGTTAAAATTGTAGCTTTAGGAGGCGTTCAAGCGAGACGGCAACGGGACAATCTTTACCTGCTCTTCACGGGGCGACTTTATTATCAGGAAGTCGTTTTCAAAATTCCCATAAATTAGCACCATTTTCCATTCCCAAAAGTAATATTAGAGATTCGCCGATAAAAGAGTCTCGATTGGAAGAAATCGATATTACGGACAGTCAAGTGGATTTATACTTAGGTTTGGAGGATGTTAAAAAAATATCTGAGCTTCCGAAAGCACTGAAACAAGAATTTCATTATCCAAGCCACGATGATAGTAGAGACGAGGATGACATTTTACATAAATTGGACATCAGTCAGTCTTCAAATTTTACAAATGGCTCAAGGCTATTGTATACAAGGTTTCACAGCTACAAAATCCATTAATTTATTAATATTAATCTCGTAATATTGAGAAAACAATGCATGCTTTTTCTTCTTCTTTTTTTTATTTTTTATTATAGATTGGTTAACTCTGCCGCTGACGATATACGCACAAGTAACATGGAAACTACAAATGGATCACTTTCTCTTTCAAAGGATAATAATAGTGATATTGAAAATAAAGAGATAAAGTGCGATCACGATTCGGTTGTTACGGTAGTTTCAAAAGTTTTATTAAAGGCGGATGTTGATGTGACTAGAGGTTACAGTAACAGTAATTTAGAGAGTCAGATTGAAATACCCATTGATTTAAATATTGGCAAAGATAGAATTGAAGAAAAATCGGACATTGATATAGGGAATTTGGAATTGAAGAAAATCAAAACACCGTCCAATTTATCGAAGTTACTGAACAAAGTTGATCAATATTATAATAATTCGCTCGACTGCATCGAAGGTAATGATTTGTCAAAATTAAATTTAGCCGTTGATAACGACGAGATTAAGTTAACGTCATTAAGTAGTTCTTTGATTGATTATCATCCTGCGGACGATGCGCAAGATCAATTGTCAAAAAATTCTATAGAATATTCGAAGGCAACTTTGAGCAGTTATATTTATAAAAATGACAATTCAAAAGTAAATGAAACAAAATTTGTCGGTAATGAGGCGATTAACGGTAGTAACGCAGAAAATAATTCGTCAAATAGTGAACAAATATTCGACATTACTGAAGACAACAATTCACAAGAATCTAAAAAGTACGTTAAGCATTATGATTCCAATGGCAAAGCAAAGCATAATCATTTAGAAAAGTTGAAGAATAAAACGGAACGAAAGACTGCTGAAGAAAATACAAAGATTTTTGATAAAGCCAAATTATTAGCAGCTATGAAAGCGATCGACGACAACGAAAACGTAGAATTTATTAATAAAAAAATACAAAGAAACAGTATGATTAATCAGTTTAAAATTGCAGAAAATTTGTATAGTAATGTACCTGCACATTCGAGAAAAAAAAGTGATATTATGAATGAGATATTTTCAGATACAAAATTAGACAATAATAAGAATAGTAATGAATATTGAAACTGATGGCTTATAGGTACACTAATTTTTATGAATTCACTATCGTGATCTGCTGAATGTAGGTTCAACCTAACGATTAGTGTTAATTTTGAGATTATAAATATTTTTAGTCTTTTAAATAGACTGAAAAATATATTTTCATTATATTTTTTAATAATATAAGACTTAATTGAGAAGGTATATAATTTATATAATTTTAAAAGCACAATGCATCTATTGCATAATTATTTATTTTGTAAATAAATAACATCGCTCCAAAACAATATCTAATTATTTTCTTGTTTAACCAATGCTAATTTGTTACTTTCTATTTCCATTTAGCGTATGACATGTGCGATTATAAATTTATATTTTCCAAAATTCCATCGCGTTGTATAGAGTACAGTATTTATGAAAACTCTGCGTGATTTGATAAAATAAAAACATAATTTTTCTACAAATTGGAGTATAAGGTAATTAAAGGCAATAATTTCTTTTTGAAAAAATATAAAGTTATATAAAAATGTATGTAAAATATATTTCTTAACAGTAGTATATATATTTTCAATATGTACAAAACATTGTACTAATAAAATTAATAATACAAATTGTATTGAATTATAGTTCAACAAATATTTACATTTTTTAAATAAAAAATATATAAAAAATTTTAACTTCATTTTATCTATCAATGGATAAATTATATATATATATATATATATATATATATATATATATATACACACATTAATTTATTATCCTAGTAATATTTTATCCTTTGTTAATACTCAATTTAATTTTATAAACATGTTATTATTTTTTTTTTCTTTTATAAAAATAATTATTAAATAATCTTTAAATAATAATTGAAATATTTTCAATTATTATTCAATAACTGATTTGAGAATATTTTTGGTAATTCATCTACCATTAATAAGTGCAATTATTTATTATTATATTTAAAAATCCCCCATTGCGGCTATGATGTTAGATAACGCTGTGCGTGCATCGCTCTCTTGGAAGACACTCAGCACTTCCATTGCACGCTGCGAATGCTCTCGTTGTAACTGCTTTGTTAGTTCTATTCCAGGACCACTAATAACAATATCATAAACTTTGGTATAGTCAACATTTAAAACTGATTCGATGCCCTTGTCAATTTCCATTAAAATTGACGGGTCGTGTTCAATGTGAAAGACCACCGGTGCTGAGCACACATTAAACGGCGTATTCCTATCCTTAGTAATAAATGGACTAAGGTCAAGGCAAGCCTGTAAATACATGTATTTCGATTAGGTTATTATAAACGAGCAGTTTTCACATTGATAAAAAATTATGTTTCACTTGAATTTTGTTGGGTAACTTAAACAATTGACAAATGTTACGCTTTACGTACTTGCCAAGCGAGAGCTAAATGCTTTCCAAAATTATAACCGTGCTCCTGTATCTCTTCATTGTGGCCAGCTAATTTTAACGTGCCTTTACATGACTTTCCTAAAAGAGCACCAGCACTCAATACATTTCGTAATGTCCATTCCGTGACTGCATAATTTGTGCGGTCTGCTGGTGGCACGGATGGTAAAGGATTATTCTGACTGTCCCTTCTGCCTATGAATTCTGCTTCCGCTAAATCTCTTACCGCACTCGACATGAGTTCTACGAGCTGTGTAACCGAGCAAATATCGTACGTTTATCCAGAATCTTTCGTTGTTATGAAAAAAAAAAAATTTAAGATAATACATACATCTTGATTCCTAAGGGCTGCTAATTCTGCAGCACTGTTTCCTAGTAAATAGTCACCGCTCAATAAAGCAATTTTGTTACCAAACGTCATGTCATTTAATTCCGAGGGTTCTGGATATAAGCCAGGTTGTATGTTTACTAAGCCTTTATGAACTAAGTGACTCGTACGAATCATTTCGGTAACTTCGGCCAATGCCCTTTGACTGAATTGAAATCAATTAATAATTCAAAAGTGAAGACGATGCTATTAAATTATTATTTAATCAAACGCAGAATAGTTACTTAAACACACCTGTGCAAAACTCCAGCCGCTTTATCCTCTTCCATGTCATCGACATTTAAATGCCCAGCAGCTTTTGATATAAGAAGAACAATAAGTCCCCAAGCTTGCATATTATTACGTCCGTTGTATATTAAACTTCTACAAAAAATAATAGGGTGATTTCATACCTAAGCCACTTAACCAATTGCAAAACATTGTTTTAAAGTGAATTTTGATTTTACTTGGCAGTCTTAAGCAGAGGATGATTGGAGCCAACAAGCTTTCGTAAATGAAGAGCAACGTTTGCTATTTCATCGCTTAACAACCAACGGAGACTTAGAAAGGATGTAGGATATCCAACTATTTTCTCCGCTTCTGACACTGCCCTATTCCAGTCTGGTTTCTGACTAGTCGCAGCCTTGGTGCTGAATTTGTTACAACCAAATGACACCGATGGTGCATTAACCAAATATAAATTATATTTTTTACACAACAAGGTCGAAATCGCATTTTTTCGTTGTAAAATAGTTAAAACGGACTTTTTGATAGACATTTTTACACTACTCCAAAACGTACACTAGTCCTTAACAGAATGAACTCTTATACGAAAGAAATTCCTTCACATATTGGCCACTGTAGCATTCTCAGCTTATTGATGTTTAAAAACTTTCTCTTTTGTCCTAATTTCACCTTTACGTTCCTCCTTGCTGATTACCATGACAGATACTCGACATGCACATGTTCCTACTTAATTTTCCTTTTCCATATCCCGTGTATCGCCGAATTGTTCTCAATGAAACTTTCATTTTAAAAATTTAATTTTTCGTAATAAATAGACTTTCGAGCACTTACCACATTTTACACATTACAACACACATTTTAGAAATTCCATATTACTTGGCGTACAGTCCGTTATACAACATGATTCCTTAGGTTTGCGATAATGATGATATATCTGGTAGATGTTTCGTAAGGTTAGTTTAGGATCTAAGTTTACACGACGTGCAAACTACTGTAAGTACTATTTTACATACACATAGAATGTACTCAATGCCTACGTAATTGCCATCTTAAAATAGTTTACAAATATATATGATGCGATGAACGATAGAGAGAGAGAGAGAGAGAGAGAGAGAGAGAGAAAAAAGTAGTTGCATGTACAGTTAATCAACTCGATATGAACTCAATTCACAATCTTGCATATGCACAAATGCGATTGCCAATAAATAAATAATCTAATTACAGATTACTCGATAATATCTATTTAATAATAATTTTCCATAAGTTTGGCCAATTGCAAATAGTATGGAATTTAGCTTAATTATTTTACGTATTATCTTTCTTATGAAAGTTACTGCGTAATTAAAATGCCGTAAATTATTTCTCGATTATCGAATTGAGAAAGTAAGTTTTCATCGAGCAATTGTTCACTACACATTTATTTGCAACAATGTTCTGTAAAGTTTGTGCTTAAAGAGTATTATAAAATAATTATATATTAAGGTAATAACTTCTACTCACCGACAAATTAATAAATAAAATAAACACTCGAATTGCAAATAATTCGCAATATTTGTCGATCGATCCTTCCAATCTCATGTATTATCCGATGATAAATTTATCGAAAATAATCTAAATTGCACATCCCTCATTTTCTCCAATGCAAATAAATCATCCAAATAACCCATTGACCCTTTCTTTATTTTTTACCCGAATTTTCTTTGCAAGCAATAATAAAATGAGGAAAAGAGGCTCAAGGTAAATGACAACATTTCATTACTGTATAAATAAACTAATGATTTTTTTTATTATCAATTAACAAGTATCCATCACAATAAAGTACCGATTCAATCATCTGCTCGTAATAAAATCCAGAATTCTGATAATTTTATGGGAAGTTGATCAAACCGGATTACAGGACGCCAGAGTAAGACTATGTTATGTCCGAACCAAAAGGGATTCACTCGGTAGGTAGATAGATAGATAGATAGATAGATAGGTAGGTAGGTAGGTAGGTAAGTAGGTAGGTAGGTAGGTAGGTAGGTAGGTAGGTAGGTAGGTAGGTAGGTAGGTAGGTAGGTAGGTAGGTAGGTAGGTAGGTAGGTAGGTAGGTAGGTAGGTAGGTAGGTAGGTAGGTAGGTAGGTAGGTAGGTAGGTAGGTAGGTAGGTAATTAAGTAATCAAGTAATTAAGTAATTAAGTAATTAAATAAATAAGTAAATAAATAAATAAATAATTAATTAAATATGCAAAAGTAATCAGTCTCTTGAATGGAATGAATGCTGAATGAACGAGTACATTTGCGATGTTTCCTTTCACGAGCTAGTGACAGTGTCGGCACTCTGTGTCTGCGTCTGCGTCTGCGTCTGTGTCTGTGTCTGTGTCTGTGTCTGTGTGTGCGTGTGTGTGTGTGTGTGCGCGCGCGCGTGCTGCGTGCGTGCGTGCGTGCGTGCGCATGTGTGAGTACATTGGTTTGTGGGTGGGTGCGTGTGGCGTCGAGACGTACGCGGAGTTGGGTTTCCGTCCCAAGGTTGAGCCGATTAATCGACTTCCTCGACCGTGGGTCCGGAATAATTGCCCCCGGTTTCTTGCCTAAACTGATTGCCGCAGCCCTGGCCGGCCCCACCCCCGTGTAACTTGACCATGATCGGGGCACACTGCTTCTGCAGCTCCTCGAGTTTATCCTTGTACTCGGCCTTCTCGGCGAGGGTGTTGTTGTCGAGCCAGCGTATCGTCTCCTCGCAAAGGCCAAGGACACTGTCCTTGTCGGACTGGGCGAGCTTCTCGCCGCTCTCCTCGACGGCCTGCTTCACCGAGAACACGTAGCTCTCGACCTGATTGCGCGTCGAGATCTTCTCGCGCTGCTCCACGTCCTGCTCGCGATATCGCTCGGCCTCGGCCAGCATCCTGTCGATCTCCTCGCGCGACAGTCGGCCCTTGTCGTTTGTAATGCGGATGTTGTTGCTGCGACCGCTTGCCGTGTCCTTGGCGGTCACGTGAAGGATGCCGTTTGCGTCCATGTCGAAGGTGACGTCGATTTTGGGGACGCCGCGTGGCGCGGGGGCGATGCCGCTTAGCTCGAAGCGGCCGAGGAGATTGTTGTCCTTGGTCATGGCGCGCTCGCCCTCGTATACCTGGATGGTGACGCCCGGCTGGTTATCGGCGTAGGTCGTGAACGTCTGGGTCTGCTTGCAGGGTATGCGGGCGTTACGCTCGATGATGTTGGTCATGACGCCCCCGGCGGTCTCGATGCCGAGCGAGAGCGGCGCCACGTCGACGAGCAGCACGTCCTGGAGGGCCGAGCTCTTCTCACCCTCGCCCGTGAGTATGGCTGCCTGCACGGCCGCGCCGTAAGCGACGGCCTCGTCCGGGTTTATCGAGAGGTTCAGCTGCTTGCCGCAGAAGAAGTTCTGCAGTATCGACTGGATCTTGGGTATGCGTGTCGAGCCGCCGACGAGGACGACATCGTTGATCGAACGTTTGTCCATTTTAGCGTCGGCGAGGGCTTTCTCCACGGGATCGAGGGTCGACCTGAACAGATCGGCGCAGAGCTCCTCGAAGCGCGCCCGCGAGACCTTGGTGTAAAAGTCAATGCCCTCGATGAGGGCGTCGATCTCGATGGCCGCCTCCGTGCTCGAGGATAGGGTACGCTTGGCCCTCTCGGCCGCTGTCCTCAAGCGCCTCAAGGATCGCGGATTCGACTTCACGTTCTTCTTGTACTTGCGCTCGAACTCCTTGCACAGGTGATCGACCAGCCTCGAGTCGAAGTCCTCGCCACCCAAGTGGGTGTCGCCCGCGGTCGCCTTCACCTCGAAGAGCGAGCCCTCGTCGATGGTGAGGATGGAGACGTCGAAGGTGCCGCCGCCCAGGTCGAAGATCAGCACGTTCTTCTCCCCTTTGAGATTCTTATCGAGGCCGTAGGCCAGGGCCGCGGCAGTGGGCTCGTTGATTATGCGGAGTACGTTGAGGCCGGCTATTACACCGGCATCCTTGGTCGCCTGGCGCTGCGAGTCGTTGAAGTAGGCCGGCACCGTTATCACCGCGTCCTTCACCTTCTGTCCCAGGTACGCCTCCGCGATTTCCTTCATTTTTATCAGCACCATCGAGCTCACCTCCTCCGGATTGAAGCGCTTAATGTCGCCGCGGAACTCCACCTCGATCTTCGGCTTTTGACTCTCGCTGATGACCTTGAACGGCCAGTGCTTGATGTCGCTCTGGAGCTTTTGGTCGTCGTATCTGAAATTGTCGGGATGAACGGGCGATCGATTAACATTGCCGAGCGCTGATCCCAGTAGTAGTCGACGAGACGAGGAATGTAAGAAATTCGCGAAGGAACAGGAAGATGCGAAAATTAATTCATTAATTAAGCGACGAAAGAGGGAAAGAAAACAAAAAAAAAACAAAAACAAAAATATATAAAGATAGAGGAGAGAAGGGGAGAGAGAGATGAGGTGGAGTGGCTGGGGAGGGGTTAGGGGGTAGGGGTAGGGGGAGCGTTAACTTTTCCGTCAGAAAAAAAAAAAAAAAAAAAAAAAAAAAAAAAAAAAAATCTTTTCAATTTTTTTTTTTTCTTATCTTCCTTTCGTACGTTATTTTATCGAGAGGAAGATATTGCAGCATTTACCTTCTTCCGATGAGCCTCTTCGCGTCAAACACTGTATTGGATGGATTCATCGCCACCTGATTTTTCGCGGCATCGCCTATCAGTCGCTCGGTATCCGTAAAGGCAACGTAACTAGGTGTCGTCCGATTACCCTGATCGTTGGCGATGATCTCTACCTTCCCCTGTTGCCAAACGCCTACGCAGGAGTACGTAGTACCGAGGTCAATACCGATTGCAGGCATCTCGTATGAATCTCTTAATGATTTTTCCCTTCTCCGCGTCAATCTTATCCGCCGCTTTCCACGTACTGAAGATCGCGCCGCGACGAATGTCCTTTTATAGCTGATGCCACGAGTATCTCACGACGATGCTCGAATTTTCTCGAACTGCCTTTATTGTCAGTTACGCTTGCCTCGATCAGCTGACGAAGAGTTTTAAATTTTGCCGCATGATATCATCGCTCGTCACCCATTATCATCCTACGCCTTCTCGTTTATTAGCTTTTCAAGCTTAAAACCTACGGGAATAATAATTTGCTGCTTGGCAAAGATTTAACATAAGTTTTTAAATGTAGATCGGCGATCGTTGCGCTATGCAATTTTGTGATCGTCGTCGATATCTCGAGGCTTCGACAAAACAACGTCGAATGAATGAGAATTTTAACATTTATTCGTGCCAGGGGACATATATTCCCCTATATTCCCGATTAATCATCATCGCATTGAATTTATCGTGTGAAATTGTAAATGCTTAAGTAGAAAGATGAGCAACGAAGCGCGACAATTGTCTACAAATGCTGGAGAATTTCTGCCAACGATTGACGAGGTTGCTTTATCATTTTTTTTTTTTTATTACAATTAAATTTTACAAATTTAAATAACAGTCCGTCGATTCTCCTGCTTAACTTATTCAAATTAAAAACTTTCCTACAATCTACTTGTTTTTTTTTTTTCATTTTTCTTTTCATTTTTCTTTTTCCTTAATTATACTGAAATGATAGTTCTCGTATTTATATATATATATATATATATCCACAATTTAGAGAAAATATAATTTCTCGTTAAAATTAATAATCGGAACTGTTTATTTATAAGTGGATAATATCGATTTACGTTGTGAAAATTAATCATTCGACTGTTATCGATCGAATCGTCATTGCGCCCAAGCACTGATAACGTAAATAAGAAAATTGGATAAAATAATGAAATACTTTTGTGCACGTGAATATAATTATTTGTGTTGAGAAAACACTATGTATTTGTTTAAATACATAAACGTATTCACGTTGAAACATATGTATTAACTAACAATTGGCTACTTTATTGCCAAAGGTAAAACCGTTCGTAATAATCGCGAAGATATTTTATTTTTGTTCAAATATCCACGATTTTCTCGAAGTTTCCGCCAACGACGAACAGATGGCAATAGATTATTTCGAGTTTGGATGTAATTCCATTGAATATTAATTTACAATTACTTACCAAACGAGTCGTGCATTCGTAAATGAGCAATGGTATAGGAGGTAAGGGAGCAATTAGTATAAAAAAATAAATAAATAATTAAATAAAATAACTACAATCAACATTTTAAACATTTGATATAATTTTATTGTCTTGATAAGTTTTATATCATACGCATGTAAATCTTTTGCATCATACAAATGACAATATTAGAAAAAACAATTGCCGTGTAATGAGACTTCCGTATGTAGAAATTTAAGGCGAATGAAATACAGACTTGCACATGTATCTCATATTAGACCAATTCATAAATAAATTACATTATATATACGTTAAATTACGTTAAATTGTTTTTCTTACAGACTAAAATAATAAAACTATGAAAATAACAAAAAGAGAACAGAAAAAAAAAAAAAAAAAAAAAAAAAAATTATTGCATCATACTGGTATGTTGCGAGTCGGTATAGTTTTTGCCTCTTTCTCATAATTATATAGTTGGAGTAATAATCTGGTAGACTTTAAAGCATTCGGATAATTGACCATTTTTAATTCAGGCGAATGGCGGGAGCTTCTTAAGAAATCATAGAATACATATTTCGCGATACTGTGCTTCAAAATCATTCCAAACAGTATGTCCGTTTCTTTTTAAGCTTTTATTTGACTTTAATAATATAATTAATACACGCGCCCCCCCCCCCCTAAGATTTGCACAAAACAAAAAGCAAAAAACAAAAATAAAATACAATAAAAAAAAAAAAAATAAAAAAAAAAATCTATGGGCGCATATTTCACCAGCCTTATTTAAAGTCTACAACATTTTTGTAGATTAAATTGTGAATCACTACTACTGCATATGTTTTGGGTACACAAATGGTTTTATACACTACCTATAGTTGCAAATGGCATAATTTGAAATTGTCGTAGTATGGTTCACGATCTAATGCCGTGTGGTACATGTATATGAAGCGCAAAAAGTGGAAGAATATCCGCTTATAAAACTACGTAAATTTTAAGCAACTTATAAGCAGCCTAGCATTATTCGACGGGTATAATGCAATTAATACAATTAATGCTGGCTACTGACTGAGCTTATAAGTATAGTAATTTAAAAGGAATACGATACGGTAATACAACGGATATCCGATGTTATGTATTTTCTTTTCTTTTCCTCTTCAAATCAACAAAACTAACATACATACAAATATGTACTTTTAAGACATATCCGTAGTGTTCACTGATTAAAAGTTACAATTCACCCGTTAAATCACCTTGAAGTTTGATTTGAATAATTTATCTTCCGCATAAGTTCGTGTAATTGCAAAAAGTATCGACATGTCGCCTATGTAAGCCTCTTTCCACTCACTGAGGCATCCATAAATGTGTATAGCATATTTTTATGTAAGATTTACTCCATGACAATGAAAGAATACAGTTAGTTATGAATTACAACAGAACGGGTCACAACACCTCCGGGTCCCGGGAGGCAAGTTTGTTTCATTAAGGCCAAATCAATTTCACGAGCTGCTTGTCTTCCTTCTGTAATTGCCCACACTACTAGAGATTGGCCCCTTCGACAATCTACATATTTTACAATAATATTATTATATAATGAGCCAGTTAAAATGCCCTTCACACGTATATGCGATTAATTTTGATTTTTATCTGAAATTTCATACCTCCAGCAGCAAATACTCCAGGTACATTTGTTGCGTATTGCTCAACGGGTGTTTCATAATTACCAAATTTGGTCATTTTA